GCCAGCAGGGGAGGGCAGTTGGGGGCGACCAGGTCTACAGGAGAGGATAATTAGCAGGGGAGTGGTTAGGGAGTGATCAGGCTGGCAGGCAAAAGCGATTAGGGGCAATTAGGCAGGCAGGCAGGTGAGCAATTGGGAGCCAGCAGTCCTGGATTGTGAGAGGGATGTCCGACTGCCCGTTTAGGCCTGATCCCACCAGGATTGCATGAATTTCATGTACTGGGTCTCTAGTGTAAATAATACATTTATGTTTATTACATGTATGTCTTCTAAGTAGGATGCTAATGGACTCATATCAGCAGAGTAATCTGTCTTGTCACATCTCTTTCAGCCTCTGGCTCCAAAGACTGTTCTGTTTATCTGCCACATACTGACTGACCAGTTCAGTATAATAAAGAGTACTGGACTCATACTGGTCACCCCATCTTTCCAGCCTATCTTTTATTTTATTTATTTATTTATTTATTTAAATATATATTTTATTGATTTTGTACAGAGAGGGAGAGAGATAGAGAGTTAGAAACATCGATGAGAGAGAGTCATCGATCAGTTGCTTCTTGCACACCCCCTACTGGGGATGTGCCCGCAACCAAGGTACATGCCCTTGACTGGAATCGAACCAGGGACCTTTCAATCCCCAAGCCGATGTTCTATCCATTAAGCCAAACTGGTTTTGGCCTATTTTATTTATTTTTTAAAGTTTAGAGGATGCTTATTAAAGCTGAGATGTAAAAGAAGAAAGGGCTGGGAACCCTAGCTGGTTTGGCTCGATGGATAGAGTGTTGGTCTGTAGACTGAAGGGTCCTGGGTTCGATTCTGGTCAAGGGCACATGCCCAGATTGCAGGCTCAATCCCCTGTAGGGGGGGTGTAAAGGAGGCAGCTGATCAATGATTCTCTCTCATCATTCATATTTCTATCTCTCTCTTCTCTGAAATCAATCTACACTAATTAAAGAGAAATATGCAAATTGACTGTACTTCTGCAATGCCCACCAGCCAATTAGGAGTGAGTATGCAAATTAACCACCAACAAAGATGGTGGTTTAATTTGCATATGCAGGTGCAGAGTAGCTGGGGGCAGGGTAGCAGCTTGCCTGCGCTGGTGCCAAGCAGCTTGCATCCTGGGGACAGGCATCCTTGGGACCCAGGCCGCTCTAAGCCTGCAGGCCTGCGTGTAGGCCTGGAACAGCCAGCGTCCTGGAAATAACCCCGGGTACCCCAGGCCTACACGTGCAGATGTGGAACAGCTGGGGGCGAGGTGGGAACATCACCTGGACCCAGGTGCTTTGAGCCAGCATGCGCACAAGTGGCTAGGGGTGGGGCAGGAACGTCTCTTGCAGCAAGTGAGCAAACAGCAGACTGTGGCAACAAGGGGCAAGCAGTCCCTGCAGTGAATGAGCAGACAGCAGGACCCTGCTTGCCCCTGGCCCTAGCAGCCAAGGTCAAGCAGGCCCCCACAGAAAGCAGACACCAGGGCCTGTGGTGTTATCAAGCAGGCAGGTCTGCAGAGAGCATAGAACTACAGGGTGCAGGCCTAAGCCGTCAGTAGGACATTCCTTGAGGGTTCCCAGATTGGAGAGGGTACGGTCGGGGTGAGGGACTCCCCATCCCCCTACCCCATGCATGAATTTCTTGCACCGGGCCTCTAGTAAAATATATATTTTAAAGAAAAATAAAAAAGAAGGCTGGGAAATGAGCCTAGGCTGGTCTGCTTTGGCTCATTAAGAAATCAGAGAAAGAGGGCCATGGGGACAGGTTCAGGAGGTTTGCCCAGGATGAGCTGCAGCTACCCATTGCTGTCCTGGTTGTAAGCCTCATGGGGTCCTATAGAGTTTAAGAGATGCATGCCTGTGGGGGGAGGGGACGGCACAGGCAAGCTCCTGGGAGGGAGAGACCACTTTCAGCCTATCTTTTAACCAGTTCTTACTGCTCTTTGTTGTGATAAGCGGCTCTCTAAATTGGTCAAGTCATCTTAATGGAAAATGTCCATGTTGTATACTGTTCTAAGAATTACTCTCCTGAAGATAAAAAAAAAAATCTTTATCCATGTCTTCCTGATTTTAAAACCCTCCACTTTCCTCCCTTACCTTCTAACCATTCTTAACACAGATTATAAAACCATTTATAAATAATGAGGAAATAGCAATTACACTTACACAGCAAGAGAAAAAAATAAAATAATTTTGGGTAAAAGATATGTTCTAAGATACATAACTTTAAAAAATGAAGTAATATTTTAAAAAACATATCAATGAGGCTTGCTATAAATGTTTTTTATAAAACAAAGAATCATTTTCAAAGAAATGATCATTCTTCTTTTGTATTTTATTACTCAGGATTTGCTCAAATTGAGATATATTTTCACTAGGCAGTTTTTTAACCACTTCATTTTATTTTTTAACAGGAAATAAAAATATTTGGGGCCTAACTATATTTATATGAAGTCCTAAAAGTTTTACAGAAAATTTCAGCAACATGCCAATGCTCAATCTGGCAGTATGTGGAGACAGAAGTACCTATGACTTAAGTTCATATAGCCGTTCTGAGCCATAGCTGGAAACCAGTCTCCTAGTTACCAGTCCTTCTGTCCTTCATCTCCTCCCCATTCCCTTTCTTTTTTCACACTATATCTTCTTCTAAGACATGCATGCTTTTGTTATTCTCCTATTTAAATCAATCAATGTCTACCTCTTGCTATAGAAAAACCTCAATATTTCTTGAAGTACCACCCAACCACCTTCACAACCTGACCCCTGCACTGTTCCTCATCCTCTTCCAAATGGTCCATGGTTTCATCAATGTGGCCATTTACTTCCCCAAATTTACAAATCTTTTTATCTTTTTATTTCCTCTCTCTGGACCTCTCCCCCAAATCTCTGCCTAATGAAATCCTTTACTATATGGTTCAAATATTATCTTTTTTGTAAAGCCTTCTCCAGACCTCTGCTTTTTTTGTACCTCCATATTTCTTTTTCAGACCTTTATGACATAATTAATGCAAGGAAGCATCAGTCTTTCTATAAGGCCCCAAAGGGTAAGCTCATGAAGGCAAGAGCTCTGCCATTGTAAGTAGTGAATGTCCATGTTCATTAAACGTCGATATGTAGTACCCCCGGGTCCCCTGAACAGTTAGGTATTTCTGAAATTTTTTAAAAATATGCTTGCTTACATTATTTACTGTTCAATTGATACCTGTTAAATCCAGGGACATTTCTTAATTGAGGCATCATCTATTGCTTTTAAGAAGCATTCTTTAGAGTGTTAATATACTGGTTACTTCATTTGATGTTTAATTCTGTAGTCAAATTTAAATTAAGATAGTACTAATCTAGGCTTCTTAGCCTCTGTAATCATATCAGACAGAGAACATGCCTAGAATACATATGTCAAATCTGACTAAATAAAACATATACATACTTCAAGATTTGGGTTACTGTGCCAATTTTATTAGTATCCTAAATTTAGTTATGAGCTTCTTTTAAAAACCAGTTGAAATATTAACAAGGGATTTCAAGTATATTTATATAAGCATACAGTCAAAGAATTTAGTATTATTTCTTATTTTATTTTATTCCTTTTATAGATAGTATTTGTTACAATTTTTAAAATATTATGTTTTATAATAATTATATAACTTTAAACACTATTCTCCAATGTTGGAAATATTATGTATAAGAAAAATTTTTTATATGAATTGTTCTATAACTTGAAAAGATACTTTAAGTTATACAGTTATAAACATAAAAAAGAAGAAATAAAGTCTTTGGAAAAAAGAAGATAATTACGACATTCTCAATTAGAAAATGGACTGCTTTTTCTAAAATAAATAATTTATTTTCTATTGATAGACTTATTTTTATGAAGTATTTTTTGTCAAATTAAAAGATCAATAGATACTGCTCCCATACACATCAGACTCTGAAAGATTAATTTATTTTCCTTAGAACTATATTTCTTTGTTGGAGAAATTAATGAAAATATCACTGATAAATTAATATAGAGCATTTCTACAAAGCCAACATAGTAAGGGCATAACCTCTTTCACTCATATTAAACTTGCATCCAATATGAAGTAATTTTTTTACAGTGAAATTTTTTAAAAAGTCTCACAGAAAATGAAGTAAAAGGGAACTAAATAATAGACTTGTGTCTTTTAGAATAATGTGTAAGATTAGAAAAAGAGAAGAGAATAAAACATCTTGAATAGTTTTACTTATTTCTTACTGAAGCTATCAAATGAGTCAATGGAAAGGGTTTTGTTTAAAAAGTAACAGAATATAGTATAATTCTATAAACTGTTAGCTTTAAGATAACGGAAAAGAGACTTTGAGACTAAATTCTTAAAATAATCACTGAAATGATCAGTGCAATAAAATGGTTTTGAGGTGATCAGAAATGCTTAAACAATATATTCTTGAGTTTAGTTAATATAATTGACATACAACACCCTGGCTCTGAAATTTTAGTCCTTTATTCCTGTTCACATTTTCCCCAAAAATTGTTCAAGTAAAGGTTTAGAGTATACTTTTGTATTTCCAGAGAAACCCATCTTATTCATTTTTAAGTATATATGATAAGATCATTCTAAAGCATTTGCTGTGCAAAATAAAAAGTCATTTCATAACCATTGACTCGTCACTATCACTGACTTAATTGATTGCACCATTCTTTAATGCACAAAACTTCATTTAAAGGAGATAATTTATGAAGCATCAAGAATATCTCAGGCAAAGGCAGATTTGTATGAAGGCACAGACCTCAGGAATATGTTAAAATAAAACCCAATTATAATGGAAGAAATAAAAGTTAAATATAAAAAGGTTTTGTTTTAAATCAGGCACTCAGATAAAGAAAATATTTTTTCAACTAAACAATGATGTTAAATTGGGAAAATGACACACAGGAGCAGGAAATTAGAAAACCAAAAGCAGAAATACTCTAACGACATTAAAAACAAAAAAAGCAAGCGAGCTATCTTAGAAAAGAACATGCAAACTTACAGTTGTTGTATAAGCAGCTTCCGGATCATCTTCCAGCACCCGGGAGAGACCAAAATCAGAGACTTTGCATACTAAGTTGCTGTTGACCAATATATTCCTAGCGGCTAGGTCCCGATGAACATAACCCATGTCAGAAAGATACTTCATTCCTGATGCAATGCCTCGAAGCATGCCCACCAACTGGATGACTGTGAAATGGCCATCATGCTTCTGAAAGAGAATCACAATTGTTTACGTTGGTTTAATATAGTGTGTATGGTATTAAATAAAATCTTTTAACTTATTTATTATTACTTTTAATTAAAAAAGAACTTGATAGGTTGAATAAAGCTCGGTACTACCAAAACCGAAGTACAAACATCAAGTCACAGAGTTCCAATTACAACACGTTCCGGGGAGGCACTGCCAAACCCCTACCCGGCCTGCGGTCCAGGGCACAGGGAGGCCAGAATGGGGTGGCGGAGGGGGAAAATGGAGGAAGGTGAAGACTAAAATCAGTCCGTATAAAAGCTCAGAAAGACCTAGCCGTGGTACTGTCACAACCATACAGGCACAGATAAAGCCGACAGAGGCTGCACCGCAGGCTGCACCCTGCTCGCTCCTTCTCACTCGCTCTCGCTATAAACCATGGAAGGGGGTGTGTTTGGAGCTAGTGACCTTGGTCAAACGAGTCCTCCTCCAAAGCATCGCCCAAGGACGAGCGGGCCTCCACCTCCTGAAGCAGCAAACAGAACAGCTGCCCGCCGGCTGGGGCTGCGGAGTCCAGGCCCCTTGCCCAGGGGCCCGTCGGCTCGTGGCCTCCAGGCCGCACAGGAGGGAAGGGCTCAGTGTGGAGCTGGAGGGGCCGGGGACCACTCATCCTGCATAAGCTCCCATTCTGCTCCTCCTCCTCCTCCTCCTCCTCCTTTTCCCCCCTCATCCTCCTCCTCTTCCCCCCTTCTCCTCTTCTTTCTCCTCCCCGCTTTTCCTCTTCTTCCTCCTCCTCCTTCCCTCTTCTCCTCTTCCTCCCCCTTCTCCTCCTCTTCCCCCCTCGTCCTCCTCCTCCTCCTCTTCCTCCCCTTCTCCTCTTCCTTCCCCCTCCTCCCCCCTTCTCTTCCTCCTCCTCCTCTTCTTCCTCCTTCTCCCCCCTTCTCTTCCTCCTCCTTCCCCCCGCCTCCCTCCTCCTCTTTCTCCTCCTCCTCCCCCCCTCGTCCTCCTCCTCTTCCCCCCCTTCTCCTCCTCCCTCCTTTTCCTCTTCCTCTCCCTCCTCCTCCCCACCTCCTCCTCCTCCCCCTCTCCCTCCCTGCTCACTTCCCGGGCAAACAGGGAGCGGGCGCCTGGGGCCGGGTCCTGGCCTCGAAGCCCGCCTCATCTTCCCGGCTTTGAGGCCATTTGTGTTTCCTTCTCCCGAGCCCTGGGGAGCCAGGCCTCGGCCTCGGCCAGCGCCCTTCTGCCCTGGCCCCGCGGCTGCCACAGGCGTCAAGTTCCCGCTGCAGCCCCTCAGCCCTGACCCCCACAACTGTCGGAGAACTGAGGGACCTCAGCTTGTCCTGCCTTCGGAGGCAGAGGGCCAGGTCCAGCTGCTGGCCGCCGGCTCCTGCTCTCTGGCCACCTTCCTCCTCCTCCTCGGCGGACCCACGGCGTCCCTCGGGGCTTCGTGCTCGTCCCAGGGCGGGGTCCTCCCTCTCGCTTTGCCGCCCCCACGAGGAGATCGTGCTCCTCCTCAGGCCCTTGTGCTCTTCCTCATCCCGCTCCACCTCCCAGCTCCCGGCTCCCGGCTCCCGGCTCCCGGCTCCCAGCTCCGAGCTACCGGCTCCCGGCTCCCGGCTCCCGGCTCCCAGCTCCGAGCTACCGGCTCCCGGCTCCCGGCTCCCGGCTCCCGGCTCCCGGCTCCCAGCTCGCAGGCACCATGTGGGCAGGGCAGCTGCTCAGCCGGCCTCGCACCGCCGCAGCCTCGCCAGCTCCCGGGCTGCTCCTCGTCCTGCGGCTGCTCCCGTCACCATCCAGAAGTCCACTTCCTCAGTGTCCACGTGCTCCAGGGAGGACTTCCGGGCAACATCCGCTCTTCCTCTTCCGCCTCCAACTCTGCTTCCTGTTGGGGCTCAGCGCCCTGAGAGGGTCCAAGTCCGCGAAACGGCTGTCAGCACCTCCGTGAGCACGCGGGGCTGACAGGCTCCCAGAGGGGCGCCCCTCCGGCTCCCAGAGGGGCGCCCCTCCGGCTCCCGCTCCGCCATCTCCTCACCGGGGAGGCAGAGGCCTGGCCTGGGCAGCTCTGCGGCTGCCGCCCAGGCGATCGTGCCGGCCAGTGGGTCCTCCAGGCCGGGCAGGAACTGGTCGGAGCCCTCCTCTTCCAGGAAGCCGGCACTGCCGGGCACTGGTGCGGCCTCCAGACTCAGACGCTGTCTCTCCCCGCGGGGCCCATCACAGTCGCCCAATTCCAGGCTGGGCCGCTGGGCCGGGCTCGCTCAGGGCTGCCTGGGCCAGGCCTCCTCGGGCACTGTCTCTGCCACAGCCAGGGCCATGGCCACAGGCAGGTCCTCGGGAACTTACACGGGCTCCTCCTTGGCCTCAACCAGCGTCTCTGGTGTCAACTGCCTCCTCTTTCCGCGCCCCTCTCCCCCCCAAGTCAGGACAGCTATGCAGGATGCAGTCTGACCTGGAGAGTCAACAGGTGCTTCGCCCCTCCCCCCAGAAGTCCTGGCACCTGGAGGGCTCCGATCCCCCTGTCCCCCTCCCACTGCCCACTGGCGCCCAGCGCCTGAGTGTCCAGCAGGCCATCTTCGCAGCCACCCTTGGGGCTCAGGGTCGCCATGGTCTTTGAACTTATTTCACTGGATCCAATGAATGTGAGCATCAAGTTTGCTGACCATTCATTATGTTTATAACAAAATGTATGTATTTGTTTGACATTTAAAGGAAAGAAAAATCTAGCCGAAAGTGATGAAAGGTAAAGGACAGAAGGAAACCAAACAAATCAACTTGCAGAAAAAAACAATTTCAAAGACTTTAAGAAGAGGGAAATAAAGTCAAATAAGGTAATAGCAATGACTAGCATGAAAATAGAATTCAGTTTCCACAGTTGTGGGCTCTGAACCAGCCATACAGGTGGGCAGAAGGGCGGCAACACCGAGGGTGGGATGAAAGTTGTGTGATAACTGGAAGTATGGTTAAAAAAAAAATCACTGAGGAAAATGAAAAATTGATTGCATAAACAAGAAGCAAGTTTAGGAAAGATGTAGGAGAAAGAGAAAGATCCCCCACACAAACAGAAATAGCTAGGTTTCCCCCATTCTTTCATTATATAGAACAAGTAAGAAGTTGTTGGGAATTGACTGAAAACAGGTCTATTTTAGCTCCCAGTTGGAAAGATTAAATGAAAAATAAGCCAGGCACAGCATCTGTGGTGTAGCAGTCAATCCCTTCATTATTTATTCCTCTCACCTTGATTTAAAAATAATATAGAATTTTTTAAAAAGGAAAAAAACATCCTCTTGTCATCCGTGCAAGATTTGTACACCAATATGACCAGATACAAATAGTATCTGGTCATATCAATATGACCTAGATATTAGAGAAAATGAAAATAAAAATGTTTTAAGTTGAAAAATAATGCATATTGTTTTATGTAGTTATCTGGAGATTGTTGTCTTTAGTGAAGATTGTTGTCTTTAGTGAAAAACATGAAAAATTCTCAGGTTGGTTTTACACAGGTGTCATTTATTCTGAATGATATTAAAAATTAATATCCAGTAAGAGATTATAGGTGTTATTACCTTATACAGTGTGGTAGAAGCATAAATAAGAGTATCTTAAATTTTGCAAAGTTAAGCAGTTTTCATGGATATCTGATTTAAAACTATAGAGTAGCTTAGACATAGGGATGATTTGAGCAGACTACAGTCTCCTATCCAATGATGATTCATTGGTCAGTTAAATGAGTAAGCTTATCCTACAAATAAAATAAACTTTTTCTTATTATATCAACTTATCTCCCTGATAGCACTCTGAAACCATCACCCAACTCAAGTGCAGAGTAGGGAAAAGAACCCTCTCTTAAGAGAAACATTGTACAGTGAGAGTCCCCACTTAAGCAGGCTCTTCTGTATAATTAATGTATAAAAGATAACCTCGCAAAGAAAATGGTCGGTGTTATTAGTTCTTTATGTTCCCAATCCATCTTCTTAGACAGTGTACTATTAGATGAAATCTGTCTCTTTTATCATGTGCTCTTCCTTCCTCTCTTCTATTAGGAGCCTCAAAGCCTCTGAGTGGAATTGAAAGCGGAAGTTCTTTTGGCCAAGATTACACTAAATTTCAAGAGATTATTCTTTTGCCTATTAGAAAATGAAGTCGCCTGGTGTCACAGTTCTTGTCAATGCAGAATTTCTACATAGTAGGTAACATTAATGGGCCATCTGAAGACTAAGGGATGCCTCAGTTTCCTTATCTGTACAATGAGAATAGAATAAGTCAGAGCCGTAGTGAGAAATCACATATAAATACAGAGCAGTCCCTAATTTATTTTAATAATAATAATTATCTACATGCTGCATATAAAAGCCTAAGCCTAAGCGACTTTGACCATTTAACTGGTAACTATGACACGCACTGACTATCAGGAGGCAGATGCTCAGAACACATGCACGGAGACATGGAACAGATGGAAGGGTGGGAAGAGATTAACCAAAGATCTTATATACATACTAGAGGCCAGTGCATGGGTTTGTGCAGCAGTGGGATTCCTCGGCCTGGCCTGGGGGGATCAGGCTGAAACTGGCTCTCTGACATCCCCAGAGGGGTTCCAGATTGTGAGAGGGTGCAGGCCAGCCCAATCCCCACCGACAGTCAGAAATTTCTCTCACATTCCAGGACCGCTGGCTCTTAACTGCCTGCCTGCCTGATCACCCCTAATGGCCTCTGGCTACCGGCCTGATTGCCTGTAATTGCCACCCCCCTGTGCTGCCAGCCTGGTCACCCCTAACTCCCCCCCCCCCCCTGCGCTGGCCTGATCACCCCTAAGTGCCTTTGACTGCCAGCCTGATCACTCCTCACTGTCCCTGCTTCTGGCCTGGTTGCCCCTAACTGACCCCTGTCAGCCTGGTCATCCCCAACTGCGCGCCCCCACCCCCCACCTCCTCACTGCTGGCCTGGTTGCCCTGCACTGCCATGGCCTGCTGACCTGGTCTCCCCAACTGCCCCCCCCCCCCACCTTGGCCAGCCTGGCCACCATC